CCAGGTAACCCCCTATCTCTTATTTTGATATGTGGTCCTAGGGAATTTGCAGCAGAGGTAAAGCCTGGTAATTGAGAAAATAATTATTTTTTAGCTATGGCTCCCTACCAGGGGTGATTTCATCCCCCTTAGGACTCTGGCAATGTGTGGAAACATTGTGAGTTGTCACAGTTGGTGTGTGTATATGGAGGGGTGAGTGGTATCTAGGGCTATTGCTAAACTGTCGTGTGATGTACAGACAGAAAAGATTATCTGAAACAAAATGTCAACTGTGATGAGACTAAAAGACCTTGCGTTAAGAGTCTCAATGAATTTACTTCAAATAACTGTTGTTTTTCATTTAGCAAATATGTAATGATTTGGGACTTGGCATAATCTTAACATGTGATGTCTCTGGTGCTAGGAAGCCTGCTCTGCAGTCTTTGGAAGCTGAATGACAAAGCTAGACAAACAAATGTAATATAATTCAGAGCACAGGAAGTGTCTGGGTGGAAACAGAAATAAATATGGGAAGGGTGTGTGTTTAAGGGGCTGAGTTTGGGGGCCGGAGGGCACTGATGCCACCCTCTCCAAGAAATCTGCAAGCCATGTTTACAGTCAGAGGCATCATTCTTCACATAGACGTTAAACAACTGCTACCTAGGGAAGCCCACCAAATCCCTGAGTACTTTTTAAACAATCTGTCCCTCTGTTTCTATATGTGTTTCCTAGAAGCAAACTACTGCATCCTTTATGGCTTTGTTCCTTATGCATATGTCTTTCATGACAACAATATTTTCCTAATGCCACAGAAATGCTTTATTTCCTCTTCCTATTCTTGAATTATTCTGCCTATCTATTCTTTTAAAACGCTGACAAAGTCTGGCATGGTTTCTGGGATGTCAGGGCAAGAGGATAGCAAGCTCAAACCCAGCTACAGCTACTTAGTGACTCAGGAAGACCCGACCTCAAAATTTTAGAATAAAAAAAAGGACCAGGGGTATAGATCAGTGCAAAGGCCCTGTATTCAATTCCCACTGATGAAAAATACATATATATATATATATATATATATATATATATATATATATATATAAATAGAGGGAATGGAATTCCATAACCACTAACTAGGAAAAATATACTTAACTTTTTTCTTTTTTTGCCTCAGATGGCAACTTAATCAACAATTTTGAGAGTTCATCTTCCTAAACATCCATTATTGTCCTCTGTTTTTGCAAGACTGAGTGCCAAGACTGAGTGCACGAGGAAGAGTTGTCTCCAAATCCTGCCCCAATCCCCAATCTTTTTTCTAGGCTGGAAGAGGCCCTGGGACTGCAAAAAGATGCTATGCAAAGAGTCAAATGAGCACAAGAAAAAAGGACATTTTCCCCCAGAAAATTAATGACCCAACCAAAAGGGTTTTGATAAGATAAAGGGACACTCATTGTTATATTTGCAAGACTGGAATTACTCAGGGATCATTTCCATGGCAAATATCATAGGCTGTGATGTGCCTTCTGGTTAGTAGCAGGATAAAATTGATACAACTGCCTGCAAAACTATTGGTGACAAAGGGGACCTCATAGCTAAGTATGAAATGGAACTACCCAATGTCATAATCCTGCACAGAGATTATTCTGAGAAATCTTAGAAATTCAGTAATTGACATGCATCCTGGAGACGCTACCTTTTGAGTATCCCTGCACAATTTGAAGCAGCCATATATCTGATTGTTTGCACCTTGCTTTTAAGTCTGGGTTTGGATATTGACTCTCATACTGCCTAGAACTGGGATCTAGAGAAGTTAACACAACCTTTCTGAGTCTATGTTTCTGCATCAGTAAAATATCTTTGAAGATTACTCTTTATTCTGCCAGTCTGGATCCCACCTGGAAAACAAAGAGCATATCAGTTATTTTAACAGAAAGAACTTAATACAGGAAATTGATTAATCAGTTGTCAGAGAACCAAAAGAGAAAGTGAGAAAGCAGCTACCACTCCAAGGTTTGGGAAAGCAAAGAGAGCAAAGTTTGGGGTTACTAGAAGCTGAGTCCTGGTAAAGAGGACCTTGTGGGGCTGAGATAGACCATGGAGGACAGGGTGACCCCTCAGTGATCTATGCACACCCTGCTGACTCTGGGTTTTGGGAGCAATTGCCGTCTCCAGGGTGACGGCCATCATCAGCACTGTTCTCGCCATGTACACAAAACCAGTCTGTGCTCTGGCTTTGTAGCCTCCGTCTCTCTCTGGCACCCTGGCATCTGCAGATGGCAGTGAAGAAATACGATTGCAAAGAGTTCAGCTTCACAAAGCAGAGTACAGAAGGCTGGACGTGGAGCTTAGAAAGGGAAAACATAATAGATGGCTCATGCATCCATTACTTACGGAGTGTGTACTGAGTGTCTGACTGTGCTGTGTGTTGGGGAGTCTGGAGGATTAAGAAAAAGAACCTTACAAAGCACATCAGTACTAATAGAAGAAAGACTTTCACTCAACACTCTTCAAAGGAGAACTCTTACACACTGTGCTGGGAGTGACAATTAGTGTCGCCATTATGGATAACAGTATGGAGCTTCCTGAAAAGGCTAACAGGAGACCCATACTATATAACCAGCCATCCAAAATATATATATTATATATATATATAAAAAGAAATTAAATGAGCATATGCAAAGATACTTCAGCAACAGGAATATGCCAGGGCATTATGTAGGTGAAATAAGCCAAGCACAAAAACACAAATACTGTGTATTCTCACTAATACATGGAAGCTAAGAAAGTTGACCTCATAAAAGTAGAGAATATAACAGTGGTTGCCAGAGGCTAGGAAAGAGAAGGGGGACAGGAAAGAAAAGTGTCTATTTACAGAAAAATACAGTGAGAAAGATTAACTTCAAGTGTTCTGAGCACAGCAGAGTATGGTTAACAATAATGATGATAAATTTCAAAACAGGTAGAAGAGAGGATTTTGAATATTTTCAGTAAAAAAAGTGATTAACGTTTGAGCTGACATACATGTCAGTGACCCTCAGTTGATCACTGCACATTGTACACATGCTGAAATATCATACTGTACCCCATGAATATGTGCAACTATGTGTCAACTGAAAAAAATCAGAGTGGAAAAAAATTAACTCTCTTGTTTTAGGTCTTATGGGAAACATAAAGAAAAGGGAAATGAAAAGCAAAACAAACCAAAAGAAAAAGCAGAACCCCGCTGCTGCCTGTAAGGAGTTCCATGTTTAGTCTAAGTACTGTGGGAAAGTCACGTAGCAGAGTACAAAGCAACATACATCTGTGCACTTAAAAAGCATTTCAGACATAACTGCTTTAAGAATCCAGAGAAGCAAAAGGCTACTTCCAGAACTATCAGAGACACCATCACAAAAGGTGGAAGTGAGCAACACCGGGGCATTTAACAACAGCCACAAGGACTCAGAGCGTTTGAAACAGAGGAAAGAACACAGACAGATCAAGCCTGGTGAGAATCTTCTGGGCTCTCACAGAGGGAGGGATGGATTTGTGATATGGAGTGTGGAAGGGAAACAGGACATTTCTAGACTTTCCTGCAAGACACAGATGAGCCACTGGAGCCTCTGAATGAGGAGAAGTTATATTTAAGGTGTATTATCTCTACAGTCCCTAGCACAGCTGACACGACACACTGAACACGGAGGAACACTTGGAAAAATTATTATATCGAATGGGATGAGGTGGGACAGGATGTGATGGGATGAAACAGAATTATGCTGGCAGGTCTCAACTTGGAAAATCTTCCTAGGACTCCCTCTGCTTTAATGATAATCATAAATAGTTTATGAAATGTCTTTGAAATGAATGAGAAATTTTACAGCCAAAAGTTCAGGAGCTAAAAGATTTCAAGTAATGCTAACATAAATATTAAATGATGAAATCTGAACGACAAAAGTATTAGCAATTGACAGTGTAATATGACCATCGAGATGCAGTGCCCACTTGATGGATTGAGACACTGTTGTTAAAATAAATACGACATTGACCAGCTGACAGTGACAAACTGTAAAAGTGAACATGACATTGATTTTGGAGAAACTGGGAGAAGCTGCTAAAAATATTACTGACTTAAAACATTTTTAAAAGCAGGACGTACTGGTACACACCTGTAATACTAGCACTCAGTAAGGCTGGACAGGAAGATCGCAAAGTCAAGCCCAGCTGGGTACTTAGAGACTTGGGGAGACCATGTCTCAAAAATAAAAGTTAAAAAACAGTGCTGGAGATGTAGCTCAGTGTGAAACCTCTGGGCTCCAATCCCCAGTCCCACTGAGAAAAAAGGCAAAAGTATTGAGTGATGCATTTTTATTAGTTGATGGAGACCACTATGAAGCAGTTCTGAGCAGGATTTAAAATTAACCAATGGGCCTTCTATGTTCACTTGTGAGTCTGACCAAGGCCTAGACCCTGCCATCAGAAGATGGGCAGTGGATTCATTCTAAGTTAACCTCTATGCATCACTTGTCCTGGCTGAGGCCTACAGTGGCCTGTGACGCCCTGATGCCTCAAAAGACCTGACAAGGCCACAGCTAGGGACGCTTGGCTCCAACCTCAGTTAATTAAAGAGAGACTGCAGGTGCAGCCTCCACTCCTGCAGTGAGGAGTGGAGTCTTGTCCTAGAGACAAGACTGTTCTTCTAATTTACTACTTGAAGAAGTCTTTGAAATGATCCCCAAAGTCCTGCTCAGTTCCCCCGTTTACCTCAGTATCCTCTCATTTTGTTGAAAACCAAATAAATACAGGCATCCAGAGAACTTCCTTGTCTCTGCCCCCAGGGAATCTAAATTCTGCTAATTTTTCACCCTCCCAAAGCCCTAAACTCATACTGCTTGTCTCCTTTATTTAAGCCTAAACTATCTAGTCACTTGGGAGGTTGATCAGTCCTCAATAACTAATACAAAACCTATTAATATAATTGTGAATTTTGAATATGAATTATCAGGGTATGCAGTGCACTTACAGTGAATTTGTTGTTCTCCTCTTGACAGATCCACTACAGGATTTTGGCTTTTCTGTTGACCAGTGTGCCAAACATTTGAAACCGAATCTCAACGTTAGATTTGGCATCATTCTGAGTAAGTAGAAATTATTACCATGAAATGAAACACAGCACAAGCTCTTCCTAGGCCACGCGTTCAGAGGACGCGTGGTACCTATCACATAAGCCAGCTGGGGGACTGCACTACTATGACCCCCACATCCACCCTCTGGTACTAAGTCTACTGCCATCTTCAGTTCTCCGTGAGTAATACCTAGGTAGAGTCAAACTCACCCTTAGAGCTATGCTTCTGTACTAAAAAGATCCCAGACATTCATTTGGACGATCTAAGCACTGAAATAAGTACACTCAGCAAAAGGCAATGCAAGTATTTTAAGACTTAGAATCGATACGCATATAGGAAAGAACCTTTGCTGAGTCATCTAGGCCACAAGTTTACTACTGACTACTAGGAGCACGATTTGGCATTTGCATTATTTTCACTCAAAATAGCTAATGTAAGTTCTTAAAACTTGACTTGGCAGCTGTCACCATACTGCCTTTTAGCATGGGTAAGAGACTGTTTCACCAAGAAAAGAGGAACACCGTTCCCTCTGCAGAGCAGGGATGGAAAGAAAAGGCACTTTGTCTTGGTGGTAGAAGACCTGAACGCTCACCATGGAATGTGCTACGTGGTGAGATGCAATAACAAAGTTGTTCTCTTTCCTTTCAGGGGAGGACATCAGAGAGCTGTACCTTGACATAGCTCTCATCAGTAAAGGTGACTTTGTTTTGAATTATTCCTACCCCATCTGTGAGGCGGAGCTACCCAAGTTTTCTTTCTGTGGAAGGAAGAAAGGAGGTAAGCCACCTGCCAAGTTGTAAAGACAAATGGTGTTGGAGGTCAGGACCCCCAGGTGGGAGCCCTCAGGCTGGAGACACTCCCCCCACCGCCCACTCTACCCTTCACCTTTGGGTGGACAGGCTGCATCTCACTTTGCAGCATCTGTTTTAGAAAAATAACAAAAAGCCCCCCGAGGGCCGACCTCACAGGGCTGTTGCAAATGTCAACAAGAACTCATGCACACTGGTGTGATGATTTCCAAACAGAAAGTTGTTACTCAGTAGTGGCACCTTATAGATGGGCGTGGGCAGCAGAAAGAGATAATAGCCTCCCAAACCCCATGGAAAGTCAAAATTATTTCCAGCCTTCTGTCTCAATAATTTCTTTAGGGGCAGGTTCTCCTCAGTGTAGCTATGGAATCTGAAAAGGAGAAAAACATGAAGCTTACTAAATTCTAAACATCACTGCCTTCCCCATTCAGGCTGCTGACGGGGTGAGGTAGGCAGAGAAGCAGGAAGCCCATTACTCAGCTTTCTTTGTTCTAGTCTGCTAGCCTGCTGCTCTTGCACAGTGCACACCGTACGCACCCCTCCTCTCCTCCGTGTCCACACCTACCAGGTGAAACGAGACCCCAAGATGCCTCTGCTTAAACTTGGATCTGCCCTGCAGCTGCCTTCCCTAGCAGTTCAGTAGCTCTTTTCTGGTTGTTCTCTCTGTCTGATGGCCAAGGTGGGGGAGCAGAGTGCAACCTGGCATCCAGACACACCCCCTTATTACTTATCTCCCCACTTGAGGAAGCTAGGAATTTAAATAGTAGAGATCCTTCAAAGTTACCCAGTTATTCTTTCTGAACAGAAGGTCTAGAAGAGGCTGGAGTCCTCTTCTAGAGGGATCCTAAGGGATACAAATGAAAGAAGTTTGCTTTGCAAAGAAAGAAAATGGGATTATAAGGGAAGGCTGGTGGGATGGAAGCTTGATGAGCTCAGGTGTGGTAAGCAAATGGTGCCCTTGATGTCCTCTTTGTATGTGGCACTTAGTTGTCTTATACAATCTGCCATGTTGTATGGAACCCTTTGCCCTTCTTGGCATCCACACTACACTATGAACTCCTCGACAGGGGACAGCACCACTTTCATCTCTTTATTCCTAGTATCCATTGCTGGCCATGCGGGACAGGCTCCAGGACCACTCTGAAAATATCCAAGGCCACACGCACTCAAGTCCCTTCTCAACTGAGTCGTATTTGCGTGGAACCTGCACACATACACATCCTCCCGTACACTTCAATCTCTAGATAACGTTTAATATTCAATGCACTGTGAGTGCTGTGCTGATCATCCTTATGCTGTGTGGTTTAGAGCATAAGGAAAAGGGTCCCTACATGTTCAACAGAGATGTTATTTTTCCAACGGTTTTTTCCATCTGCAGTTGATTGAATCTGAAAGCCACAGATCAACATCCGACTGTGTTTCAAATGTGTCTGATATGTGGGAACACTAAATACAGACAAACAGAGAGAGTCAAATAACATTATTTACAAGAATTTATACCAGCTGCTGCTCTAAGAAGCCACTGACCTCCCACCCCCAACAAATGAGATGGTCTGATCAATACCCGATCTCTATAGATGCAGGTGCCGAGGCACCGTGTGAGGGAATCGTAGCAAGCCACAGAGTGTGCGAGGGACCAAGGCCTGAACCCACGCAGCCTGGCTTCAGGGTCACAATCCCAGCTTCCGAGGAATGGAGGAACAGAAGTGCAGACAGCCAAATATATGAATATATTAGTTGAGAGTTTCTTTAAAATGATTACTCAAGTTTATTTTTCCTTTTTTGCACAGGGGTCTATATTTCAAATTACAGTGTTTTTTCTTCAAATTACAATGTTTGTAGTTAACTTACTATAGAATGATATGTCTTCCTCTCCCAACTTAATAAAAATATATTTTGTTTAACTGAGAACATTCAGGTATTGTGGTTAATCAAGGTCATTTACCCTCAGCGTGGTGAACTTATTCCTGGTTAGTCTGCGTTAACCCTGCCTAACTGCCGTCATCTAGGACAACCCCAAATTCTCAGCTACAGTTAGCTCCTAGCCAGTCCTTTCCTCCTTTCTTCCTTCCCTCCTCCCTTCCTTTGTCCTCCCCTCCCCTCCCCTTCCCTTCCTTCCCCTTCCTTTCCCTTCCTTTCCCTTCCCTTTCCTGCCTGCCTGTCTTCCTTCCTTCCTTCTTTCCTTCCTTCCTTCCGCAATAACTAAGTCCCTAGTCTGTGTCAAGTTCTTCAGGGAGCCTGAGATGAACTAAGAATGGTTTCTGCCACCAAGCGCTTAGTAGCTGTCTAGAGAGATTCGCCAGGCAGCTGTTCCAAGTTGCCGTGTATGGCGTGCGCTTGAAAGGAAAACAAGAGAATGGCCAAGTGAGCGTCAGCCGCAGGGTCCCACCTGGAGCCACGCGACCAGCCAGGGGACTGAAAAGAGGATTCCCTTCCTGCTTACTTTTAGGTTGTCTGAAGCCTTTTATGCAGTTTCAGCCTTGTGTGCGTGTGTGTGTGTGTGTGTGTGTGTGTGTGTGTGTGTGTCCCTTTAAACTTAGAATTCCTCCAAGGCAGTAATTCTTGTTCATATGTTTCACAGCAAAAAGAGCTGACACAGAGTAAAAACAAAATAAATACTTGTTATTGAATTGCATGTGGACATGTAAGGGACTGGATAAAAGTACACAAGTCCACTATAAAGGGACTATCAAATGATTCTTATAGAGCAAAGACCAAAAGCTCAGCGAACAGTCAACTGTCTAGAGCACCCAATCTTAAGAAATCTTACAGTGTATTACTCTGCGCCTAGCTTTAATAGAATTAATAAAACAGGAGTGACATTTTTCCTCAAACAGTTTGGGTGTCCAGTTGGGTGACAGCTTGGCAGGGTGGGGTTTACTCCCAGGGACGCTGGGCAGCCCTTTAGCCATCGCTTTGCTTTATTGCTGTGGGGATGGTGACTGTGTAGACAGACTGAGACACTAATGTTTGGGAACTGCCAGCAAGTTTCCTGCAGGATAAAGCAATCAGAGACGTGATATACAAAGGCCTGAACAAACAATTATGTAAATCACATCAGCCAGAGACACTAACATCTGAATTCAGAGGCCTTTGGAGTTATTAAATTTTTTTAACCCACCCACAAACCCACTACAGAAAAGACTGTAATCTGAAGAAGTGATTAACACTGAGCCCAGAAGGGCGGAAAGTAACACCAGGGAGAACTGAAGTCAATCAAAGCCGAGCCCAAGCTGCTGTTGATGTGCCAAGCACCAAACAGCCCCGCAGCAGCCTGCGGGTGGTGAGGACGGGTGTCCACAGTGGGTGGCACATTCTGGCGTCAGCTGTCACTGAGTGGTGTGGTGCCACATCCATCCCCTTACCGAGCAGTCCTCTGAAAGCTGCAACAGACTAGTTATTCTCCCAATCAGACGAGACAACAAAACAGGTCAGCCTTACCCAGATTATACGCTTACAGCATTGTCTCCTTGTCCATTTACACAGATTTGAGTAAAAACAGGATCCATACAAGTGCTGAAATAATACTTGAGGGAAATACGTTGAGTGTGTTAACTGTCTCTGTGACAAAATACCTGAGATAATGAATTTAGCTATTCCCCTTCTAGGTATGCTCCTGAAAGAGTTAAAGGCTTCATATTATAGGGTTCCATGCATGTCCTTATTTGTAACAGCACAATTCATATTAGCTTAATCCTAGAAGCTGCCTGTGTATCCATCAACGGATGAACAGATAACGAAAATGTGGTATTACAGACAGAGAGTACTACACTACCACAAAAAAGGATAAACTTGAGTCATTTGTAGAAAAATGAATGCACTTTGGGACCACAATCTTCAGTGAAATAAATAGGATGCACAAGCTCAAATATTGCACAGTTTTGATATAGGGGAATGAAACACCCAAGCTACTATGTCCGAGAGTTTGTGTTTTCTAAAATTGAAGAATGAATTTTAGGAACAACAGAGGTGAAGAGTAGAATATATTTATTGAGAAAGGAAGCTTCTGTCTGAAGAGTGACAGAAGGGGTCCCGAACACGTTGCCAAGAACTCTCTTTTTCAGGGACTTTTATAGAGTAAAACCACGGGTTGACATAGGGGAAGACTAGGAACTCACAAGGCAGGTGGGCATAAGGTGGTACATAGCTATAGTTAGCCATAAGATCAATAGTTTAGGTAAAATTGATTACATTAGGAACACATGGGGAAGCGAGAAAGCGGGCATCCTTACAGAGCAGGGACTGTTTCCTAGGGGGATGGGAACTATTTAGGGTATCAATTCCAGGATATGGGTGCATTTGTATGGTCTTTTGTCTTGAGGCCTGGCCCACAGCAGCAGGCATCCTCTTCCTGGCTGCTGCCCTGTGTTTGCACTGGCTCCACTGAGGACCTAACCCTATCTCACTGCCTGTAATATTTCTAACTAGCTCAGCTGCCTGCAGCAGTTTCTGTTACCTGAGACTCCCAAAGCATGAAGAGCAAAATAAAGTGCAGATCATAGAAAGTCGAGAGAAAGAGAGAGAGAGAGAGAGAGAGAGAGAGAGAGAGAGAGAGAACCTTCTCAAAGGGAAAGGGCTCAAGAGGTGGGGGGAGGAGGAAAGAGGGGAACGGGTACGAAAAGGAGTGAAGACGCATCACATACATGCGTCAGCTGCTCACAAGGAATGGAAACATTACATACTGCAAAAATTGATTAATAAAAATGCATAATTTTTTTAAAAGGAGAAAAGGCTGATTTGGGCTCAATTTCAGAGGTCCACGGTTGCTTGGCTCTGTTGGTTTGGGAAAAAGTCAAGCAATGCTATCGGCCTGGAGCAAAAAGAGACAGGAAAAGGCAGGGGTCCCCACATCCCCTTCCCCACACCTCCCAGTGACCTGATTGGCTCCCACGAGGCCCCACCTCTTAAAGGTTCCCTCACTTCCCCAAGGCTCGGCTGAAAAGATAAGAAGTATGAAATATAAGTGAC